AGATACTCATGAGGTGTGTTACTGAAACTCCCTGGCTGTGAGTGAGGCATTGGCAGGTGGGCTGCCAGGTGCCTCAAATAATGTAGGAAGCAAAAGGAAGCTGATTCTGTGGGATGTTGCTCCCTTAAATTTCTCAGAAAGTACGTTTCCAAGTGAGGCCTTAAGAACTCTTGGGGTCTTCACAGCTTAGTGAGTAATGGGATGTTTTTGCTCTTCAGACATTACAGGTCCTTGAAGATAAGGGTCATGGGTTATAGTCTTCAAGTCCAGTATGACTCGGAGCACCTGTGCTCAACCACCACCTATGACACCCCTAGAGATAGTACATGTACTAGAAGCTGACTGCTGCCTCGGGCTGGGTCATCACCAAGGGCATTTCAGAGAAAATGGTGTTTACACTCAGTCCTGAACTTGCATAGGGGTTCCCAGTCAGACACAGGAGTCCTCAGTCTGGGGTCAGATGGTTGCAGAGTTGTCTGGTAACTGTAAAAATTTCCCCGTGGAAGAATGGAGTGTGCGAGGGCTCTCAATGTATCAGGGACGATTGTTATTCTGCTCCACGGCTTTTTTTTTTTTTTTTTTGACAGGCAGAGTGGACAGTGAGAGAGAGAGACAGAGAGAAAGGTCTTCCTTTGCCGTTGGTTCACCCTCCAATGGCCGCCGCGGCCGGTGCGCTGTAGTCGGCGCACTGCGCTGATCCGATGGCAGGAGCCAGGTGCTTCTCCTGGTCTCCCATGGGGTGCAGGGCCCAAGCACTTGGGCCATCCTCCACTGCACTCCCTGGCCACAGCAGAGAGCTGGCCTGGAAGAGGAGCAACCGGGACAGAATCCAGCGCCCCGTCCTGGACTAGAACCCGGGGTGCCGGCGCCGCAAGGCGGAGGATTAGCCTAGTGAGCCGCGGCGCTGGCCTGCTCCACGGCTCTTGACCCCCTCCCAGTCTCATCCACACTGACAGATGCCCTTTGTGTCTCTTTTCTTCCCTGCCAGGGGCTTTATCTGAAACTACAGAACCTGTCCAGCCAGAGTGAGGACTGCCAGGAACTGGTGGCGATGGGAAGCCCTTGCAGCAATCCTAACCAATGAGGCATGAGGCTTCCACCCCCGATGGGGAAACTCTGAGGTGTGCTCTGCCAGTTCCTTAGAGTCCTCAGAGGGACTGGGCTGAGTCTCAGCTGCCCACAGTGTTGGTACACTCAGTGACACACTCTCTATGGGTTTAATTATCCCTTGTCTGTTTCACTTTACTTTTCCCCTGTGTTATACACGTTATGGTCTGCCTTTAAGTTTGGGAAAATATGATTCTCTGCTTTGTGCTCAGGAAATACTGAGTGAAGGTAGGAGATTGGCTCAACTCCCCCTAGTTGCTGATTAACATTGGAGAAAAGTAGTGAGAAAAGGTAGCACACAGTTGTGCTACTTCCCTTGACTTCCAGAGGGGCGTCTCTTGCCCAGCCAGATGTTTTACAAGCTCCTCTGTATTGGTTACTCTCTGCCCCGCCCCTCCCATTTGAAGACACTCCTCCCCTCCCATCCACAATCAATCCCCTCACAACCTCAACTTCAGTGTCCACCTCAACCTCAATCTCCAGCTCAACTCAACCTCAATCTCTATTTTGTTGCTCCAGCCCATCACAGCTTTAATCTGAACCAACGATCCCCAGGGTGCAGTACAAGGGCTGAGTCTTCACATCTGGGTGCTCTAAGGCTGCGGCCCTTGTCCATTCCTGCTTCTCCGGCCAGCTTGGAATTACCTGTGTCCAGAGGCCCTTGGGAAGGTCTCAGCCACACTACAGCTCCACTTGGAAATGTCATGCCACTAAATCCTGGGAAGGAACCACCATGGTTGAGAGTTCCCTTCATTGCCCCCAATTTCCCTAGAGATCAGCATCCGCCCAGGCTCAGGTCTAAATTTCTGAGAAATCAGGCCCTAAAGGAAAATGTAGTGTCTTTGGAGTCAGAGGAATCAAGGTTTAAATCTTACGTGTACTAAATACTGGCCAGATGACCTCAGATGAGATACTCACCTCTCAGCCTAATTTCTTCCAACTGTACAATGGTCATCATCGTGTGTGTGTGTGTGTGTGTGTGTGTTTATTTATTTATCTGATAAGTAAAGTTACAGAGAGAGAGAGAGGGAGAAACAAAGATAGAGTTCTTTCATCCACTGGTTCACTCCCCAAATGAGTGCAGTGGCTCGAGCTGGGCCGATCTGAAGCCAGGAGTCAGGAACTTCTTCCTGGTCTCCCACACAGGTGCGGGGGCCCAAGCACTTGCACCATCCACTACTGCTTTCCTAAGCTATAGAAGAGTGCTGGATCAGAAGAGGAGCAGCTGGGACAGGCACCAGCGCCTATATGGGATGTTGGCACTACAGACGGAGGTTCAGCCCACTACATCATAGCATAGCCCCTGTTGTGTGTGTTTTAAAGGATATTTAGGGATAGCATATTTAGGGCTGATCTGTATTTACTTAACAATAGTTGGGTCTTAGGATTTTCCGCTTTTTTTTTTTCCCAGTATCATTTGGTCTTTTGGCCCTGCCTCCCCCTAATTTGTCCCTTCTCCCAGCCCACATCCCATTACACCTCCTGGCAGAAAAAGCCCGAGTTAGGGTCCAGGATGCTGGCCTCTGTTAATTGGGTGGATGTGGTAATGATGTTTCATTGAGTCTGTTTTTGCAAGGCCAATTGCATTAACTGCATTTTCCTACTTTCTGGATTCCTGACCTCTGGTATCTGACTGGGGAAGAGTCTGCCCCTTCCAAGGCTGGCCAGTTCTTAGAGGCAGCCAAGAGCTTGGTAAGGATACTCCTTTCCCGTGCACCAAAATAATCCAGAGTCCACACTGCAACCGCTACCTTTGTCATCTCATACACTAAGCCAACATGACCCCAGGACCAGCTACCAGCAACCAGAGAGTCCCTGGGCCCCCATACTTGCTGTAATTATTCCAGCCAGCCAATCCTGTCTCACCTTTCCCATGGAAAATACAGTGAAGGCTCTAGCTCAGACTTTTCTCTCCTCTTCTTGTGACCACTGAGCAGACCAGGTACCCACTGCCCCTGGTCACATGACCCTGCGCGGAGTGACACCACCCCTCCTCTCAGAAAATAGACGCCATAAAAATCTTTGGTCGAGAGCATTAGCCTGTCCTTGTGGTCCCTCCATAAGTTCCAGAAATTAAAATCCCACAGGTACACTTCCAGGCAGTCCTGCCCAAATCCTCTCGGGAAATGGGTGTTCACATAGTCACTTTACTAGAATCCCATTATGTGCATATTTCTCATGTCAGACACTTTTGGATCCTTAGGTGAGAGTGTGCCAGAGCCAGTGCTGGGGCTTAAGACCTCTGAGAGTCCCCATCACCTCTCCCAGGACTCCCCAAATGTGAAGAGTAGAGTCCAGTTCCACGTGGGTCCAACACATACTTTACATGTATTTTTAGTTATGAAAGAACGTATTTCCCATACAAAGTCAACTGATTAGAAGGCCTTGAACTAGAAGGAGGGAGTCCTTATGTTCAGATCTCCTCCTTTGAACCCAGTCCCTCAGAGATTCCCACAGTCAGCGTCTGCTGTGCAGCTTCCTCCACATTTTTAAAATTCTGCATGAACATATGCACAAATTGAATTAGAATGCTTTTTAAAAAATGGAACTCAAACATGTCTGTTTTCTGTAATGTGCTTTTTTCCATTCAGCAGTCTATGGTGAGTCTTTGCCTCTGCCCAGATTCTGTAGTATGAGCAGATTGTAACAGATTTCACCAATCCCTACCGATATGTGTTTAGGTTGTTTCTAATTTTGCATGAATTTAACTACTATTTCTTGAAATTTCACTCACCCTTTGGCTATGGGAACTGACCAGGCCCTACACAATCTGCCCTTGGGTTTCTCCCTGACTTCAGCTGGTATCATTACCCCTCTGCCCCAGTCACTCTGCACCAACGTGCTTTTGTCAAGTGTTCCAAACACACTCCCTCCCCAGGGCCTTTGTGTAGGGCTTCCTCTCTGATTGGAAGCCTTAAAATCCAGATCTTCACAGGCTCACCCATTCACCTTCCTCAGTACCCTACTGAAGCGTCCAATATCTGATAGCCCCTCCTTTACCTCCCATAGGAGATAAACTTCCCACCTGGGCCCTGCCCACCCCCTTACCCTGCTCTACTTTTCCCCTAGTGTATTCATTGTCTGAAAGAGGGAAAGATTACTTATGTGTTGCCCGTCTCACTTCTTTAAAAAACAAGAATGTTCAGGTGGGCACAGCATTTCTGTTTTGCTCACTCCTGTGTCCCTTGTGTGTAGGAAGGGCCTGGCGCACAGTAGGTCCCGAGTGAGCAGCCCTGTCTTGCTCCTTGTGCTCTCATATCCTGTAGTTGCACAACCACCCTGCAGCATAGGTGGGTTTGCCCCACTTTAAAGTTGAAGAAATAGACTCAACGAGGTGAGGTCCCTAACCCTAGATCACATAGCGAGGAAGTCAACTGGAATGGCAGCTCTCAAACCCACCCAGACCTTGGACTTTCCAAGGGAGTCTCTTAAAACTAGAGAAGCCTACATCTCACCCACATGTTCAGAACTGGGACTTCTGGGGCCCAGGAATCTGCATTTGAACACGCTCCTGTGATTGGGAACCCCTGGTCTAGAATGTGATCTAGTTTTCCTGCAGGTCCTGTTCATGCCCTTGTTCTAAGTTTTAGCTGCCCAGGCCTGGGTGGGGGGTGTCTGGTGACCGTGGGTGTGTCCTGTGGAATGGCCTGCAGGGGATGATGCCGGGTTCATGGTGTCTGCAGCAAGGACGATGTGTCTCTGGGACAAGTTCCTAGCCTTGCTTCTAGGTTTTTACTGCAGCTGTCATGAAAACTTCCTCACTGAAGGACAGCAAACTCCTAGGCGTTGGAATTCACCTATTTCCTGGTGACTCGCTGCACTGTACTTTCATTCCACTCAGATTCCTCCAGAGAATCCTCCACTGCTTCTTTTTATACCAGAGTCACTGGTGTTTATTGCTAGGAGATGGAGAAAGGAAACAGGCCCACAGAGAGGCAAAGCAGACTTGCAAGGAATTCCTGGCCCAGTGCCTTCCCTAGCACATCCTCCCCCCCAACCCTGGGTGGAGGCCATTGTTTGCTGCTTTGGAGAAGGCAAGCTACACCGGAGCAGCTCTGCAGAGGCTGAGCTGGGGGCCATGTGGACACGGATTGACCTAGGGCTTTCTGGAATGTATAAGGCAGGACTGATGCCCTTGGAGGGGGCTGCCCTCCTTTACAGGTGCCTGTGATGGAAGTCAGAAGACCCTGGACTCAGGTGAGAGTCTGCTCCTCCCTCCGTGTCTGTCACTTGGGCTCAGATGATGGTCGGGTCCACTCATGGAGCTGCAGAGAGGAGTTAATGGGTTGATGTATACAAGTGCCTTCCGAGTGTTCACAGGTATGGACCGAAGATTCCATGGATGCAGAATCTCAGTGTCCTGACATGCAATGAGATTGTGGGGGGGATTCTGATAAAAGAACATTTAAATTCAGCTTGGTGTCTATGGCACGGTCTTAAAATTTCCAGCTCTTTTTGCTATGTCTAAAACATTCTCTAATAAATCATTTCTAACCTAATAGATCTCTCAATCGAAGGCTAAAGGAATATTCTAGAGCCCCTGGGTAACTCCTGCTGAAGGTAGATCTAGGCTACTCATGAAGGTACTTTTTCCTCTCTCCCTGCACACGAGGCTCAGGCTGCAACAAGAAGCACATGGGTTTCGGAGTCCATCAAACCTCACCTCACCTGCTTAATTTCTTTGTGCATCAGCTTTGTCATGCAGAAATATGGGCACAGGAATGCATACCACTTCAGTGGTTTTGAGGTCCAGTTAAAATGGTTAATATTCATAGAACACTTTGTCTCTGGCCAGGACTTTACCCGTATTGGCAATATTTCGTGCTCAGTATTACCATACAATGCAGGCACTGTCACTACCCTACTCTACAGATGAGCATACAGAGCCAGCCAGATATGCCAGATGTGAAGCAACGTGTCCAAGGTCACACAGGCAGGAACAAACCCAGCACTCTTTTTTTTTTTTAAAGTAATAGATCCACTTTATTTTGTTATTTTTATTTTTTTTTTTTTGACAGGCAGAGTGGACAGTGAGAGAGAGAGAGACAGAGAGAAAGGACTTCATTTTTGCCATTGGTTCACCCTCCAATGGCCGCCATAGCTGGCACGCTGCGGCCGGTGCACCGCGCTGATCCGAAGGCAGGAGCCAGGTGCTTCTCCTGGTCTCCCATGGGGTGCAGGGCCCAAGCACTTGGGCCATCCTCCACTGCACTCCCTGGCCACAGCAGAGAGCTGGCCTGGAAGAAGGGCAACCAGGACAGAATCCGGCGCCCTGACCGGGACTAGAACCCAGTGTGCCGGTGCCGCTAGGTGGAGGATTAGCCTATTGAGCCGCGGCGCCGGCCATCATCACTCTTAACTACTCTTATTTTAACTTGTTCTTGCCAGTGGGAATGCTGTATACTAAGTATACCCTGCGTTGGCTGTGTGAGCCAAACAGAGTGAGCCTCTCTCGGTCTGTGGTCCTACGATCCTGAACCGTTGTCTGAACAGCTTCTTCCTGCTTGTTTGCTTTTTCCTACTCCCCCACTTTTCAGCACAAATTTAGTTTTTAGAAGTTATTCTTTATTTTCATTTTATTTGAAAGGCAGAGAGAGAGAGAGAAGATGGGGAGAAAGAGAAGACAGGAAGAGAGAGAGAAAGATATCTTCCATGAGCTTGTTCACTCCCCAAATGGCCACAATGGCTGGGGGTGAGCCAGGCCAAAGCCAGGAGCCTGGAGCTTCCTCCCAGTCTCCCATGTGGGTGTCGGGGCCCAAGGACTTGGGCCGTCCTCCGCTGCTTTCTCAGGCACATTAGCTGGGAGCTGGATCAGAAGTGGAACAACTAGGACTCCAACCAGCACCCATATGAGATGCAGGCACCATAGGCGGAGGCTTAACTTGCTGTGCTGACCTGTTGTGTTGGGTGTTCTATCACTTCAGCTGGAAGAATGCTAACTGATGAGGTTCCCAGATGGACTGCCTCTTGGTGGCAGAGAGGTGGGGGTGACAGGAACTGTGACTAATTGTTTTTTCTTATTTTCATGAGCGTGTTGGGCCCTGATGAGGTACCTATAAATACCTGCCAATTCCTTCATCACAAATTCAGTGGAATATTGGATACTTATTGGGAATTTTGATTCATTATTTAAAAATCCTTGTATGCTGTATAGATAGTTCCTTCTTGCAGTGTCCAGGGAAATTTGGAAAAATTTACTTTGAGTTTCGTTTCTTCCCAACTTTATTTCTCAGTGAGATCAACTGTATAATTCACATGATTTTCAGCAGAGAGAGTCATGTTATATTTTTTGGACTGTTTGTTCGAATTCTTTGGTAAGAATTCTTGCCACTTAAATGTGAAGCTCTAAATCTTCTGAAATGCGAGGTGGAATGTCACACTCCTCTCCCTATAAAGCTTTGTGGACACTGAGGGAGGAGCCACAGAAAGAGCCCCCAGCCATGGATCTGTAGGTTTTAGGGACTACACTGGTGTCACGGTCATTTTTATGTACTTATTTGGCTAGTTTTCAGTCCTTAGTTATCCATCAAACACTCATCTAGGGTTGATTATGATGGCATTTTTTTTTTGACAGGCAGAGTGGATAGTGTGAGAGAGAGACAGAGAGAAAGGTCTTCCTTTTGCCGTTGGTTCACCCTCCAATGGCCGCCGCGGCCGGCGCACCGCGCTGATCCGATGGCAGGAGCCAGGTACTTTTCCTGGTCTCCATGGGGTGCAGGACCCAAGCACTTGGGCCATCCTCCACTGCACTCCCTGGCCACAGCAGAGAGCTGGCCTGGAAGAGGGGCAACCGGGACAGAATCCGGCGCCCAGACTGGGACTAGAACCCGGTGTGCCGGCGCCGCTAGGCAGAGGATTAGCCTGTTGAGCCACGGCGCCGGCCAATGGCATTTTTTAGATATGATAAAAGTCCCTGAATCATTGACTTTCAAGTCAAGTTTTCCTCCAGAATCTGAGTGCCTTGACTGAATCACTGGAGAGGACTTCTGAGCAGAGCTGTAGCTTCCTTACTGTAGCCTGCAGCATCTGCTCTTGCCTAGCAGGCCCAGCCTGCCCTTTCTGGAGACCTCGCTACAGACTCTGGACTTCTAGCCAGCCCCCACATTCTTGTAATCCAAGCCATTGCTATGCACCTCTTAGTTTGTATCTCCTACCAGTTCTGCTTCTCTGTTTGAGCAATGCTGTATACAACTGACCAATCTTAACCTTCCTGAAACTGTATGCAGGTGCATGTGGGAATGGAAGAAAGTGCAGATTCTTCCTATTTCCAAATGATCTTTGTCCCATCACAGACTAGCGTCCTGTGCTGGATGGAGGACAGGTCTTTAACATGTCCGTCAGTTCTCTACCACCTGCTCCTGACGACCTCCTCATCTCCTGTCTCCCCAGTCTTTTCACATTTCATCCAGGATGAATGATGTTCTTGAACCCCTGGAAGCTCTTCCCTGGGGCCGCTGAGAACCCATAACTCAACAGGTCACTCAGCAACAAAGTACCTTGTATACTACCCTCCCTCTGAATGTCCTGTGCATTCCTGTTCTGGCTGAAGCCTGGCTTCCCTTAAGAAAACTTCTGTGCTGTAGCCCACTCACATGGTGGCTACTTTCAACCCCACACTCCTCCTCCTCACTTCCTCCTTCTTCTTTTAACTGTAACTTAAGATCCCTCCTTTTTAAAAAATTATTGAAGGTATAAAAATTTCATGTATATCGATTTAGGAACATAGTGATACTTCCCATCTTACCCTGCCTGCCACCTACTCTCCCACCCTTCATCCTCCTTCCTCTCCTAATCCCTCTCTTAATTTTTACAAATATCTACCTCCAGTTTACTTTAAACTCATAAAATCAACCCTACACTAAGTAAAGAGTTCACTAGTAAGAAGAAAAAAAACACTGTAAACAATCATTGAAGCTCAACATGTTAATTTCACTCCAATACATTACATTTTTGATAATCTATTAGCTACCACAGACCAGGGAAAACATACGCCATTTGTCTTTTAGGGACTGGCTTATTTCACTAAGTATAATTGTTTCCAGTTGCATCCATTTTGTTGCAAAAGAGATTTCACTCTTTTTTGTGGTTGAGTAGTTTTCTATAATGTATATATATCATAATTTCTTTATCCAGTCATCAGTTGATGAAATCTGGGTTGATTCTGTATCTTAGCTATTGTGAATTGAGCTGCAATAAACATGGGGGTAAGACAACTCTGTTATCTGCTGATTTCATTTCATTTGGGTAAGTTTCCAACAGTAGGATTGCTGGGTCATATGGTAGACCTATTTTCAGCTTTCTTGGGTATCTCCTTACTGCCTTCCCCAATGGCTGTACTAGTTTACGTTCCCACCAGCAGTAGTACTTTTTCCTCCATGTTCTTGCCAGCATTTACTGTTCGCTGATTTCTGTATGAGAGCCATTCTAACTGTATCGCCCCCTCTTCATTCCACTGAGCCTGGAAGTGAACTCGATGACTTCCTTGCTGATTCCAGACCATTCATCCTTCAGTGTCAAATCTCACGTCATTCGTCTACCAAGGGTAGGAAACCTTTTTTCTGTGAAGGGTCATGTGGATATTTATAGCATCATTCTCAGGTCATACAAAATTATCAACTTAAAAATTAGCCTGTTATAGATTTACTGAATTTTGTGTCCTGCCTATGGTTGCCTTGGCAGAGTCAGACCAAATGGTTTCATGGGCCTCACACAGCCTATGGGCTAGACAGCCCCCTCCTTGATACCATTCACTTCCCGCATCCAGTCCTCTTGGAGGTACTAGTCTGTGCCACCTCCCTCATGTCTTAGAGCTTTCAGCTCTGGTCCCCTTTCTCTCCAACACTATTAAAATTCTCAGTGATTTCATCATCTACTTAAAGACTTGTTGCAGTCTTGATCTCACACTTTCTTGACTTTCTTTCTTCCAATGGTCCTGGTTCTCTGATCACATGATTGCCCTTATTATTAAGCAGGAAGTACTGAGTCTTCATAAAATCTAATTAAAGTTCCCTACTCTTCTATCACCACTTGCTGTTTTCCCTGCTCAGTCAACTCCATCCAGTATGCCAAGTCCAGCTGCTCTTTGACCTCTCTTGGGCACGACCACCTTACCTCTGTACTTTATTTACATCAGCACTTCCTTCCTTACTCTGCCTAATCTTATGATAAGTATTCTCTGAGACACATTCTTGACTCCTTGGCTCCCCTTTTGCTTTATTTTATCTTATTGGCTAACGCACTACTTTGACTGGATGCATTGGAGAAAGGTACACACAGCCATGCTGACTGCTCTCCATCCCAACACAAGACCGTTCACCTCAAAGATGCTTCATTAATGCATCTCATTAAAGATAGATTTTTCTGTTTCATTGGAACTCATTCTCCTTTATAACCATTTCATACCTTCTCCTCTGTCTTTAAATCCCCAACAACTCTCTCAAGGGTCACTCTGAAAAAAATGACCTATATTCACCAATTTCATTCTTCAAACTCAATCTTAAATTCACCCATCAGGCTTCTGCTCCTCTACTCCACAGGAACCAACCATTTTCAAGGTCATCAGCAACCCACATGTGTCTACATCAATAGCTTAGTTCTCTTGGTACTTGATCTATTGCCCCCCCCCCCCCAAGTCTTCATTCACCCTTGAGAAACTACTGTCTGCTCATTTTCTTGCTTCCCATTAGTTTCCTTCGTTGCCTCCTTTCTCAGATCCTCCTTCCCTTCCTAAGCTTGGAAACGTTGGAAGTCCATGTGCAACCCTTGGTTACTTTCACTTCTTTACCTATACTGTTTCCTTGGCAATTCTGGTCATATGGCTTAAAATGTCCATTTCTAGCCCAGATCTCTCTTCTGGACATCAGACTCACATTCAGCCACCCGTTAGACCTCTCCACAGCCACACAGGTCTGACACCTGGGTCCTAGCGGTCAACCTGCTCCCACACTTCCACATCTCAATAATTGATCACACATTATTCAGATGTTTAAGCCAAATGCCTTTGAATCACCTGTGATTCTCCTCTTTTCTGCAAACATCACATCAACAAATCATTTTGTTTTTTTCTTAAAGCTTTCCTCAAGCATGTCATCATTTCTTACTGTCTCTGCTGTTGCCAAGTGCGTCCTGTCAACATTAGCTTCTGCCTAAATTATTACACAATTCTCCATCTGGTCTTGCGTGCCTGCCATTGGAGAAGGCACCCAGCAGAGAAAACAATCCTGCTAAGACCGTAAGATGGGTGCCTCTCTTTTTCTGAGTAAAAGCTAAAGGCTTATTTTTTTACTGTAATGTAAACTTAAAATATGTTGTCTCAAAAACCAAAAAAACAAAAAAAGCAGAAGGAATGAGAGGATGGAGGGTAGGAGGGAGAGTGGGAGGAAGGGAATATCATTATGTTCTTAGTATCAACAATTCACATTGAATCTGCAAAAACTAATTAAAAATTAACATAAAAAAGTTTAGAAAACGCTAAAGGCTTAGAGTCAGCCATGAGGCCTTGTTTGGCCTACCTCACCCCATCACATTGTCTCATGTTCTGCTTTTCTCTCCTTTGTTCATTTGACTCTGACCACACTATCTTTCTGCTGCTCTTCAATTATGCCAGGTTTATTCCTGCCACAGGACATTGACATATACTGTTCTTCCTACTTATACAGATTCTCCTGCAGATGTATGTCTATATCTATGGCTATATCTATCCATGCCTATGGTTCTCTCTCGGTATTCTCTATCCTTTGTCTATATCTATATCTTCATTTCACGTTCCCAAGGAAGGTTCTTCTGGTCACTCTTCTTAAACCTGCAAACCCAATGATTCTGCATCTCTCTCTCTTTATTTTCCCCATTGCATGTCTTATTATCTAACACATTGCATATCTTACTCTATTTTTTTGTATCATCAAATGGAAGGCCTTTTAGTCTGTTCCTTTTGTTGCCTTGTTCTGAGCATCTAGAATACCTGTTACATTTTAAGGACATACATTTGTGGAATGATTAACTAAATGACCGCTACGGACATTGATAAACCTTATTTGAGTGTCTCACCTCTAAGTCTTCAGTTAGATAGTTTCTGCTTTAGCTTCTCCTCCAGAAGTTCCCCTAAAAGCCCCATGCATGGGCAGGTGCCACAGCTCAGTAGGTTAATCCTTCACCTAGCGGTGCCGGCACACCGGGTTCTAGTCCCGGTCGGGGCACCGGATTCTGTCCCGGTTGCCCCTCTTCCAGGCCAGCTCTCTGCTGTGGCCCGGGAAGGCAGTGGAGGATGGCCCAAGTGCTTGGGCCCTGCACCCCATGGGAGACCAGGAGAAGCAGCTGGCTCCTGCCATCGGATCAGCGCACTGCGCCAGCCGCAGCGCGCCGGCCACGGCAGCCATTGGAGGGTGAACCAACGGCAAAGGAAGACCTTTCTCTCTGTCTCTCTCTCTCTCACTGTCCACTCTGCCTGTTAAAAAAAAAAGCCCCATGCATAAGAAAGAAGGCCAGGCCAGGCAATATCCTGTTACAATGGGACATGTAGTCACAAGATCCTGGAGTAGCACCCCAGAATCCTGGTGAGCCAGACTGGGTCCCAGACGTCTGCTGTCTGGGAGGTATCAGTCTGCCTGCTAGCAAAGGCAGGTCGAAGGAGAAGGAAGGAGAATAGACAGTCTTTCCTTTGGCTTTGAGGTCTGGTTTTGAACTTAACAATCTGGTATTTGAGGTTTATGGCTGGTGAAATAAAATGCTACAAATAGAAATGTCTTAGTCAAATTAATTTTCTTTTATTACTACGCTATGATGTGATCTGTCTCTCCTCAAACAAAAAAATGCAATGTAAAATATAAGCTATTAAGGTACATGCTTGTTAACTTTTTATGTATGTTTTGTTTTGGCCAGCAAATTCTTCACCAAGTGCGCCTGCTATTGTTGAAATCGCCTGGCTGGCCTACCAGAGCTAGAGCAATGACATAATCCACTTCACTGGACCTCCTGACAGTCGATTTTCCAAACAGCCATCACAGTGGACTTTGAGAATTTAACGCAGAATCTGTCAATCACTTTCCTGCATAAAACCTGCAGCAGTGCTCACCTCACTCCGGATGGGGACCAACATCCTTGCAAGACCATAGGTGATTTTCTCCCACTCCTTTCTGACCTCCCATCTCGTCAAAATCCATTCCAGCCAACTAGTTCCTGGAACAAGTTAAGCACAATCCATCATGCCTCTCTGCTGCCTGTTCCTGTGCACTCAAGAACACTCTGCTCCCAGATGCTGGACTCAAAGAGCTCATTCCTCTCTTGTGCTGCTGGCTTCCCCTGGCTCATAGCTTCTCTGGCCTACCTGTCTAAATCAGTACACCTGCCCCTCTCTGGTCTGATGCCACTACCTTCTCCATGGTCCTCCTGGCTTACATGCTTTTGTGGCTTATTTGTCTGTCAACTGATTATCTGGAATCTAAGATCCTGGAGGGAGGAGTTTGTCTGTTTGATCCCAGCTCTGTTCCAAGTGCCTGCAATAGAGCCAGGTATGTTGTAGTGTTTAATCCTATATCTTTATTATTGCAGTGGTCTTGTCTGTGAATAGCATTTCTAAAAGACAAGACCAAGAGACCAATACTTATTTACAATACTTGGGTAGGTAGATAGGTGGGTAGGTGGACAGATAGAACTAGTGTTCAAGAAATCTCAAGCTCCTAACCTTTGTTGTCACAGAAGAATCCTCTTGGGATCCTTGAAGGACTGGCTGGATCTGGGCCAGTCTATCAGCATTCTGGCTGCTCCCCACTGTGGCATGGGTGAGGGGTGCCAGGGCAAGGTGGATGAGAATCCTGAGCCTCCCACCTACCTGAAGGCCACTACCTGCTGTGGTCTATCCACCAGCTACTCTCAAGTCTGAGCATGAAACCTTCCCAAACCAACCCTAGTGATTTCAAACAATCAAAGGAAGACGGTCTAAATCTGAAACATTTGGAAGTCTAAAACCTGATTTGGCTCCAGAAAGCTCATGCTTATTAAAATCTTCAAAGACCAGATATAAAAATGGTCCATGTTTTAGATTATCTCCCTCTCATTTGTCATGTCTGGAGCCATTTTTACAACACAGAACACAAAAGCTCTGGAATTTAGCTTTCTTCCTGCACACACATACAGAAAACTCCCCAGGCTTGTGGGTCACGGAAGGAGAATACGTGTGGCCGGAGGGCTTCTCCAATAGTATGCACTTGGGCCAAGTTATTTTCAAAACCGAGATGAGTTTAGAGAGGTCATGTAGTTCAGAGTTTAAAACAAAAAATGTTTCAGGAAGGTTTGTGTGTTTCACTTAAAAGGTAAAAAATACAGGCGATGTCATGTGCTATTTTTATATGAGATCATTTGTAGATAAACATTTGCTATAAATTTCAACCTATCAAGTGGGAAAGAAGTGGATAGGTTTTTCCTAGTGCTTAGTCTATGACAAGCACCAGACCGGGTGTGCTCAGTACATGTTTGATTACTTCACTGTCCTTATCATAGCTAAGATCCCAGTTACGACTTCCCAGAGAAAACAGAGGGCATCGTTGCAATCCCCTCAGTTTCCCTACTCCCCCTATTCACATTCCTATGTATCCTCACTTGCTTCTCTCCTGTTTCAGTGGACCTGAGTCTGAGTTAGGACTCTTGCTTGTTTAACACAAACCCTTTCTCTGGTAGTTGTTTTGACTCACCTTTTGCACCTCCAAGACCTCCTGGCCCAACTACCTAAACTCATTCCCTGATATCTTCAAATTCTACCATTGGCTCATTGCTTTCAACCTGTACATGTGTCCAAGTTTCTTCCATCCTGAAATGACCCTGAGTTGGCTCTCTTGACCCATTTCTGTCTGTTCAATCAGACAGGTTAAATGCATCGTGCAGGACCAGTAGGGGGTAAAAGAAAGAAAACTGGCTCTTCACAAAGATGCTGCGAAGACTGCTGCAGCAAGTATTCAGACTTGTTCAGCTACCAGTTTCTGACTTCAGTCTGTGCCACCAAACTGACAGTACCAAGCTCCACATAGATTCTTCATATTTTTGTTTTTAGTGAGTTTTATGTCCAACTAGAAGCTGGAGATTAGCTATTGAGGGTGAGAGGTGTGAGGGATGACTAAGTGGAAATAATTGAGTGGGGGGATGACCTAAGGACAATGGAGAAAAGAAGTGTTTTCTGTTCTCTGCCCAGGATCTGGTTTTGCAATGCGGAGAGTTGTTAATTTCAGATTCTGGAGGGAATGTTTCCAGGAAAACATTTAGGACAATATTTCCAGTAAAGGCTTGAGTCTCTGGCTGTAAACATAGTTATGTTGGGGACCAGGTGACTTAACATGGAGAAATGGCTTCCTCTCCACTTCTGTCCAAAACTTAGCAACACCCTGACTCCAAGAGATTGCTTCCTTCACACCAATGTTACCTTCTCAAGACAAACTCTATCGCAGTGTATGATTTGCATAACTGGCTAGGAGTTAGACTGTGATTTGCATAGTGACTGTTGCCTTGGAGTCCATGGATACTTGTAAGCCCAGCACAGAGACACCAAGAAACACCGGAGGGTAGTTGCTCAGTGAGAGGAGACATATGACATTGATTGCTGATGTTTGAATGTCTTCGCCAGTATGTTCAGTGTGTGAAGCCAGAGGGCAAAGGCCCAAGAGGGCAGGGATTCTTGTCTATTTTGATAATCCCTGATTTGGTAGACACTCATAGACATTTGTTCAATGAACATGAGGTGACTTTGGCTGCATGTGGTCTGGGAAGGGATGTGCCACCTGAAGAGAGTTGGATACTTAGTCTGAACAGCTGGAAGCAGTAGAACCCAGGAAGAATCAGTTAAGGTCAGATTTAGGGGTGGATGAGACAGTGAAGGAACAGCAGTGGCTTCTTGTAAGAAAAACTGACTATAAAAAATCAAGTGAGAAATCAGATGGGAGATTGAGAAGGGTATAGAATTCATTATGTGCAACAATATGGTATAAACCATAATACAATAGATAGGAAAGAGGAAAATTGGCTTTAGTATATCACCCACTGTTTTTTATTTTAGAAAAAGATTTAGTTATTTGACAGGTAGAGTGCCAATGAGAGAAAGACGTATCTTCCACTGCTGGTTCACTGCTCAAATTGCCACAACAGATTGGGCTGTGCCAGGCTAAAGCTAGGAGCCAGGAACTCCATCCTGGTCTCCTACTAGGTAGCAGGGGTCCAAGTACGTGGGCCACCTTCTGCTGCTTTTCCAGGTACCTTAGCAGGGAACTCAATTAGAAGTGAAGCAGCTAGGACTCAAACCAACACCCTGGTACAGGAGGTGGCATTGCAAGTAGCAGCTTAAACTGCTGTGGGACAGTGCTGGCTCCTCATGCATTGCTCCTCGTGCACTGAGAATTCTAGTGCATTTTCACAATGATCTTCATTTCAACCAGATTAGATGGGTAGGATAGGTACATTCATTCTTTTTTTTTTTTTCAGGTAAAGAAAAATAATCAGGTTAGATGATAGCTAGCTATAGGCCAGAGAATTCATATGTGAACAACAATCCATGGCTTTGAATTGTGTTGTAGAATTTTTTCTACTTTGCCATAGTGTGGAAATGAGATTTTGACTATGCAAATCTGCTGGCTCTTTTCAGTTTGTTTTTCCTCTTCAGAATTTTGCAGTGGTGACTATGAATTGAAAAGCTTTAAACATCTATCTTTGATGAAAAGTGTGGCGTGATGTGAGGAGATAATTAAAATGGAAAGAAACCCCATCTAAAACCTGGCTTTACGTACTAGGATGAGGATAATGTATTGAAACAGGGGAGAGCCTCAGTGGAAGCTCTATTTCCCATCCCAACAACACAGAACAAATTGCACAAATTCTGGGAATTACAGCCCATGGTAACAAACACTGAACTCGCTTTTAAAAATGTCACCAAATGGCTTTGTTGATGCTATTTTGTAACTAGTCACAGCAGATGGCACTTTGAAGCATATGATGCAGCTTGGAAAAGAAAATCCCTCAGACATTTTTGTCTGGTTTGCTAAGATAATGTGATGAAGCTTGAAATGAAAGAATCTCGGTGTGCACTGACAGAGAAAGGCTACACAGCGTTCGATGGGTTTGTTCTAATTGCAATCACAGAGTTGATTCTTCAGCTGTCAACTCTGTCTCTGTGTTGGGTTTTGTGAAGGTTTATGCACTCACTGAATAAAGGGTGCGAAGCAAAGGAGAAAATAACTAAATAACTACTATGTCCTACATTAAGTGCCAGACTCTATGCAGATATAAACATTCTACGTAGCTTATTTAATTCTAAAGCAAGTCTAAGACCAGCAACTGTTGCCCTATTTTATTTACAAAGAAATGTGGTGGGTATTGTGGCACAATGGGTTAAGCCACAGCTTCGTATTCCTGTATCCTATATCGAGTACCAGCTCCTCCACTTCACATCCAGATTCCTCCTAACCTGGGAGGCAGCAGACGGCGATGGCCTCAGTACTTAGGTCTCTGCCACCCACGTGACATACAAGGATAGAGTTACTGGCTCCTGCTTTTAGCTTGACCCAGTCCTGGCTGTTGCAGGCACTTGGGGAGGGAACCAAGAAATGGGAGATCTCTTTTATCTCGCTCTCTCTTTCTGTCTCTGACTCTCCCACTGTTGCTCTGCCTTTTAAACAAATAAGTAGAATCTTAAAAAACAAAGAAATTGATGAACAGAAACATCCTATACCTAATTAAGTAAAAAGTTGGAATTCAGACCCTTGTCTAGTGCCCCAATCCATGGACTTCCTATTTTATGTACTGTAGATAGAATTCTAGGTCTACCTACTTTTTCTTGTTTGCTTTAAAAATATTTTTGTAGTCATTCATAATAGCTGTTAAATATTGAGATAAATGAAGCTGTTAAATGTTTATGTAATGGAGTGCTATTTGTGCATCAAATTTCAAATTTATTATTTCCAGAAATAGGAATTTTTGGCACATTTTGACAGCAGTGTGGGTTGACTCACTCCATTGCAATTCAACATCTCCTTGACTTTTTCTGTAGTAAAGACTGGAAAGCAGAATATACAGACTTCTGGATTCTCTTGCATATAGAAGTGGCTGTGGTACATACACCGCCTGGCCAACAGGAGGCAAATGAAAAATCCTGGAGGAGCACTTTCCATCCGAAATAGAAAGGCAAAGTTTGATAAGAGAGGCTTTCGCTTTCTTATATCATTATCTGAACTCCACACCAGGAGGTGTAGCAACTACACTGCCACCACACACATGAAAGCCCTGGGCCAATATAGAAAGACATTATTTTTTGCTGACATCCCTGGGTCTCTTGTTAGGTAAGAAAAATAGCCTACACATGAAAGGAAATGGGTCTTCTGACATTTATGGACAAAAATACAACCCTAACTGACATACTTAACAACCAGAATTTTAGAATACATTCATATTTTCTAATGCAGTTTCATTTTCACTCCAGTTTTAATTGTGATTTGTAGGTCCCAACATGGAAATATAGGCATCAGACAACAGATTCATTGGAATAGTGTTCATTCCATTGGGCACACACTAGAACGGAGTTGAGTCCTCTCCCTGATTGTGGGAAAATGGTCAGTACAACTGTTCTTCAGGAAATGTGTTCTTCCAGACAATCTGGACACCACCCCCACCAGCATGGGGGTAGGGTAGGCAGAACAGGATGACTGGATTTGATATGCCCCCCAGTGATTTCTTTTGCATATATGTAGACTTGGCCTTTGGTTACAAAATTTATAAAAGAACTTGAAGAATCATTTGTCTATCTTTTCACCTTGGAGAGGGACCACACTGAATTTATACCAGACATAAATGATAACTGATCTGGTTTTAATAGACCTCCAAAGAAGATAATTCCTCAGGAGGCCATTCCATATTTAAAAATTCAGAGTCAATTCTTCTTTTAATTAGAACGAGTATTGCATATGACAAAAATACTCCTTTATTTTTCTGTACAGCTGAGTTGGTGGTTGCAGGGTTGGGCAGTCCTGGGTTACATTGTAATTCTGCCACTTGTTAGCTGGTGAGTGTCCCTGGTTCTCAGCTTCACTAAGCCTTAGTTCCTCATCTGTAAGATAAGGGAAATCATGGCTATACTGTACTCCCTAGAGTCTGGGTAAGGAGCTAAAGAGTGCACAACCATGAGGACATAGTTTTCCAAAAAGGCAAGTGCTCAGATGCCATTCCCCTTTTGTTTTCTGTCCACTGTGGACAGCAGCTTACCATTGTTCTCTGGGGAATTCTGCATTAGAGACCTAGAAGGTGAACCTCAGGTAACTGCTCCACAGCTTCCTCTACTACATGCTAACTCCAACTCTCAAATTGCTCTTACTTTTCTTTTTTTGCCTTTTATTCAAGAATTTATCAATTTATTGATTGATTATATTCTAAAGGCAGAGTGAGAAGGAATGATAGAGCAAGAAATCTTCTGTCTGGGGTTCACTCCTCCATGGCCACAATAAGCTAGTACTGAGCCATGTAGAAGCCAAGAGCCATCCTGGTCTCCATTTGCTCTTACTTTACAATCCTTATATCATAACCTGTTATTGCAAAACAACTTAAAATGTTTTGTAGTTTGGGGATCACATTTTTATAAAGTAAGCAAAAAATATCAGCAATCGAAAATGGAAAATATTTACTTGTACACTTCATGTTGCTATGTACACAAAATTCTCATTCTTGGTTGTGGTTCCATAATTGAGATTTACTCCATGGTGACAAAAGCAAAATGGGGTAATGAGACAGCCATCTGGATTATTACACCAAAGATATTCTGGCTGCAATTATGTGGTTAATTGAAAGACAAAGACTCCTTTGGGGCAAGTTCTGTGCATCCCAAGTTTCACTGTGGTAGACACTGTCTGGGACCCAAGGGAGGTCTACTACACCATTTTAAGAAAGGACACATTTCAGATCATGGATTATTTTAAAAAGCTGTACACATGACTCTTGGATAATGGAGTGTTGGATCTGCTGAATTCTGGCAGCTTTGTGTGTTGGCTTCACTCACATATGCAAAATTTTAAACTCAAAGCCACACATGAAGTAATTGTGAAGCCACACAATTCATCTCTAAAACTCTGCCATGCAGTGTTTCCTGTCTTCTCCAGCAATGTAATCCCTAGAAAATGTGAGGATTCCAGCTTTAAAAAATCATGCATTCATCTTTATTCACTTAGAACCTACTCATTTAACCTTGAAGAATATCTCAAAAAAGCCCAAATAACATAATGAAAGAATGGCACAACTCCCAAAGCATAGTTAATTAAGAGACTTTTCTTTCTTCCTTTTCAATTACTCATAGCATATGACAGTATGAAAGAGAAAGAAAATTTCAAAAGTTTCAGTTATTGAAGCCTCATAGGTGTACTCATTTTCCACCGTTTGTATGTGATAAAATTGGAGCCTCAGAAGAATTTCAATGATTTGTCTAGCATCACATGGCTAGTGACTTAACCATGGCTTTGAGCCATCGCATTATTCCTGTCATTCAAATCTACTAAATGTCACTTTCTTAATGAGGTGGGTCCTGACCACCTTTGCTAAAGAAGTAATCCCTTCCTGGTACCTGCTAGTCACTCTATCTCATCACCATGTCTTATTTTCTTAGCAGTCTTTGGATTCATACTCTATGACTCTGTTGTTTTTCTCCTCTTCTGAAGTACAAGCCCCATGAATACAGAGACTCTAGCTCTTGTTCACTGTTCGACCTAGAATAATGTTGGGCATACAGCAGGTGCTCATTAAGTCTTCGTGGACTTAATGGGCTGGCTGGTATAAAGAGGAAAGGAACTCCTGTTTATTACACACCATCATGCCAGGTGATTTGCTAAGTTAAAACTATCACATAAGCTTCCAAGATAAGTGACATGCATGGCATCTTGAAGTTAGGAAGTGGTGAGGAGAGAATTCCAAGTCAGGGATATTTTGCTTCGAGTCCTGATGCTTACCACTAAGGAGACTGCTTCCCAAGGTCTATGATTCCTGTTCCACTCAGCTTCCCATGATCAGCATCAAACTTCCCCACCCCTCCAGGTTGACATCTGGACATCACTCCTTGTGGTTTCTGTCATCTGTGACAGTTGTCTTCTGGTAAATCAACCTGAATATATATTACTCAGCATAGTAAATATTCTTGTTGCTGGTTTCTCTGTATAAAGTTTACTAAGTAAATTTCTCATAAGTGTTGTAGCTTACTTTGTCTAATTTGTTGACAAATTCCATTGAGTTGCACTAATTTTCAGTAAAAATAGAGAAAGAAATCTACCCATCTGGTGACCATTGAAGCCTGATACCATCAAAGGGATTGATGACAAAAAATTCAGATGGTTACAAGGCTTAGAAGAGGACATGTGCCAAAAGATGAAGAAAGCACTGGGATATAAACAAGACGAAATGTAACCCTGCAACAGTGTTGCTTCTGACCACAGGATAAACCACAAACTTGAGTTGGGGGAAAATGCCGAATCTCTTGCCCTTAACAGAACTTTTCACCTTCTTCAGGTTATGGTTACTGTAGGTACCAAAATCTTCATTTTCCCCTAGATTATAGAACCAACTGAAGGTGGTGACTGTGAAATGCTGATGCACACCAGAATCACTTGGATAATTTATTAGCAAAGAGTGGCAGGTCACTGCTGTAATGAACGAGGCACTGAGCCAGGCGTAGGGTTAGGGCCTAACTGACGATGACCATTATCATTAGCTATGTCACTCTTGCTCACAGGGCGGGTTTGGGTCTGACCCATCCACAGGTTGGTAAGAGAAAGGAAGAACATGGGGTAAAGAATAGAACCCAGGATTTGGAACTGGAAAACATGTGTTAGGATCCCAGCCCTGTTCTCTATATGTCCGACTTTGGGTGAGTTGTTTCATCTTTTTGAGCTTCAGTTTCCTTGTCTGAAATCCTCAGGGCCAATAGCATTTATCTAATGGACTATTGTGAAAGCTGGGTAAAGAAATGCACGTGAAGAAGGAAGTGACAGTTAAAAACACAGTGTTCTCTCCACTATGATAAATACAGGTCATTTGCTTCTGGATCCTAGCCCTGCTAGTCGTCACTGCCTGTGTGGCTGTGGGTTAGCCAACTTCATTAGACCGCGTATATGAAAGAGGCAAAACCAATACTTCAACCATACTCACTCTCAGTCTTGCATGGACTGCTGTTGTTAGCTCTACTTTATAGTAAGAAAACTGAGACACAAAAGGAGTTAAGAAATCAACCGTGGATCACTCACAGGCCATTATGGTTTGTGCCCCCAGAAAGCTGGGTTTCAGAGCCTCCGTTCTTCAGCAGTGAGCTTTGTGCTGCACGGAGCGAGTGAAACATGACTGGTGCAGGCCTAGCACATGGCAAATGCTTGAGTAATTTCCCAGTACTCGAATACTTTCCTTTCACATTCCAAACTTATATCCTTCATTTTATGATCCAGTATACCACACATTGCAGTCAACATCCAACTTATTTAGCTATCGCCTGTGAAAATTAAAGCTCACTTGGGCCACATAAAAGCTACAAATATGTTTATACTGGGAGAGAGCATGGTTTCACATTTGGTTTTCATTGCATTAAGCATATAACATCTATTTGTTAGGCAAAGGTGAAAGGTTAGAGATTACCTCAGGCTATATGTGGAGAAGAGTTGCTTACTGGGGAGCTACATAGGAAATCTGTGATAAATTCTAATAATGAAAATCCCTTTCCACAGGGATCCTTCTGACTCTCAAAAGTGTCATAAGCGAGTGTAGACAATGAGTGACATCAGGAAGCAGATCAGTCTCATCCCACAAGATGTCAAAGTGAGCCGGAATGACGCAGTGAGAGAAAGGGAGTCAGACACTAAGGCTGGAGTGAAGGGCGATGATTCCCGTTATTTTGGGAGCTTTCCAAGGAGTCAGGCAACACGGCCTGGGTAGAGGGTGTGAGAACTGTTATTCAGATCACGAATCAGAGCACGTTGGGATTATATGGGACAGAGTGAGAGTCCTTGGGACATAGTTCCCTGCCACCATAGAGCTCATGGAGAGAGACCCTGATGAAAAACCCTTGAATTCCTGGGGAAGCCGTGGGGCTCACAGAACCAAGTCTGACCCAAGCAAACCTATCTCCTTAAACGAGTTAGTTATACATTTCCCCCTAATTAGTTAACAGTGATTCATCAGAATCTGGTTCAAAATACCTGGGAAAGAAACAACTTAGTTCAATATATCACTTACAAAAATTATGCAATCCTTCGTACAATCACTATTAATACAAATCCACAATTTTACCAATCCAGTTTACATACTTAGGCTCCTTTGTTGCAAGTGATTGCATTATCCACCCACAGCCATGTGGAGTGGTAAGCATATTTGTTTAATAAACTAGACAGTAAATAAATCAGCAGCCTTAACCCCAAATAAATTGAGCCCAGGATTTATACTAATACAAGGCAATCTCCAGAGAAGAATATTAACCTTAATGTGTTCTTTTTTCCTCCATTAAAATCCTACAGAACAGCTAAAACCAGAATTACGGAGGCGCAGACTCAATGACCGTTCCATTTCTCAAGGTGAGGCTACAAAACCACTTCAGCTTACTCTCACCAGCATCTGCGTCTGCCCCACGGTCGTCTTCAACAAGGACCTCTAGCTGTGCAGGAGTGTGCCTGCTAAGTCAAAGGTTTTCACAATGAACCCTGCCCCAGCAAAGCCAGTTCTGACAACTTTCACTTTCTCTCTCAGCACAAGCATCCCCCAGAGAGGTTTTATTGACCAAGCCTCAGTTCATAAACACTCGCAAACATCAGAGAAGAGCGAGGGGAGAGAAACACCAACGTGAGCCAAAACACTCATCTCTAAAAGAGAGAAAGCCTGAAGCCCAGGCTTTGAGTAGGAGAAAGGGCTGTTTACTTACGTCGCTTGCAAGACCTTGCCACAGCTGGAGCGTTTGAACTCTAGGGCGTGCAGATGTGGAGCTTTTGCTTGTAATCCCCTTCCCATTGGCAGCGAGGAGTGCTCATAACTCTTTGGGACTTCAGATTGATAAGCAGTTTCCTGATTCGCTTTCAGAAGCATTGTCCCAGGATTTGAGCCGTGGCAGGGTGAGAGGGAGTGTTCAGGCATGCAATGATGCCGTGGCTTACAACAGACCCCCTGGTTGTTTGATTGAACCCAAAAGAAGGATTTGTTGACTTCGTGAGCAAAAATAAATATCGTCCCTTATCTGTTGACTTGCTTCTCAAATCGTATTTGGGTGACAGCATAAAGAATCTGGACAACCATTGTTCTAGAAATATAATACCCAAGTTGATGCCTTCTGATCTCTCCTGCTGGAGGAAACCAGGGAACCTCTCACTGATCTTCGAAGACCAGCTGTGGACAGGTCCTCAGCAGCCACCTTAGAAGATGTCCTTGAAGACATGAGTTCAGCACCTTCTGCTGACAGTCAAAGGAAATGAGGCCCAGGGCATGGATGACTTGGCCGGAGGCATACAGCTAGCTAGGGGAAGGACTGGTACCAAGGCCTCCTGGCTGTGAAGCCAGTGCTCTGCCCACTAGGGAGGAGGAAGCTGAGGCACAAGTTTGAGATCCACCTTTAGGAAACAGGTCACTGGATGTGCCCTTAATGTTTCTGTGCCCTGGTTCTCACATCTGGGGAACTGGAATCTTCAGAGTGACGCTTGATCATGCTGTCTGGTGAGTTCTGTAAAGAGCTTCGTCAGGGATGAAAGCCATGAGCTACCCTGTGATGGAATTTTATCCACATGGTCCCTCTTGCAAGCTTCCCTTTTCCTTTCCATTCAATGATATTGTCTGTGGCCACTGAGTGACTTTTGGGTGATGAAGGAGAATATTGGTTAGGGAATGGGATAGGACATGGAGAAAACTTTAGACTTTGGAAAGCCAGGTCAGGAGCAGGTGAAAGGGTAAATGGCATGTCTCAACATTTGCCAAAGAAAGAACACTGGTTCTGGAAACAGAAAGCAAACATTTGGCCACTGCTTCAAATACTTGTCAGCCCAGGGAGCCCTGCAGGGTCATTTCAACATTCCAAACCACAATTTCCTCACTGGGCACATAATCCCTATCCCACTGTGCTTACTTCATTCTCTTGTGGCAGTGATCAGATGAGATCTTCATTAAGATTGTGCTTTGCCTTGAAACTAAAGTTGTGTCAGTGCTATGTTCTTTTCCTCTTTTAAATTAATATTTTGCTTATTATTTTTTGAGATAACATTTTTAATTATAGTCAAAGGCTTAATACTCCATTAAATAAAGAGTTCAACAAATAAAAGGTAACTTAGTAAGGTTGGAATGCATATGTCCTCCCGAAATTCGCGTTGGAATCTAACACCCAATGTGATAACGGTTATGGGGACATGGGCCTCTTTTGCTTTTCCATCTTTCCTTCAGGTGAGATTGTCCCCTCCAAAGAGTGCAGCAATAGGTACCACCTTGAAAGCATGGACAGGGCCCTCACCAGACACAGAACTGCTAGTGCCTTGATCTGCAGCATCCAGGCTTCCAAAGTTAGAAATAAATTTCTTTTATGAATTACTCCAGCTATAGTATTCTGGTGCAGTAGCACAAATGACTAGCACAGCAGTGTTTCTCAGGTCCAGTGCTGCACTACCCAGAGCAAACATTACCATGGAAGGCATCACTACTGCTCCCCATTTCATTGGTAGCACCGCCTCACACCCTTAGCGCCAGGGCTCCTGACTTCTGCTTTGCCCCTTTCTTCTCCTTCAAAGGAGCATATTTTGTCTTTCTTTCCCTATCCTCCACGTCTTCATACTTGTCTCTTCATTCAAGTCTTGAGCCTGGCTTTGGAGCTGGTTCTCAGTCCTTGGCCTAACAAATCTGTTCTAAATTTCCCCCATTCCATTCCAAAGAAGAAGGCTGTTTCCCTGGAGGGAATGTAGCAGAACTTAGAAGCTGCAGAAGAAAGACCTAAATCTGAAGTCTTGAAGTAGAAATGAGACAGGGAGAAAGAAATGCTTCAGGAAGCAACAGAAGAGAGCAACTTAAGCAAAATGGTGGAAAAGAAACTGACCTCCAAAATGGAAGGTGACAGAGAGAACTGAGAGGCACAAAGGGCTGTCACGTGGGAGCATCTGCCAGCACAGGATAAACACGTTGCAGAACTGCAGAATCCGAAGGCCCTGCTAATGATCCTGAAGCTCACTGATTTGTTCTGAGAACTGACATTCTCTCCCTCTGCTCCCTAAATATCCAATGATGTACCATCCTGCATCACCTTATTGTGTCTCATGACAAATATGCTCAAAGCTGATGTAGGACTGCATAGGGAGATCCAGACTGCAAGATGTTGTTTTAGGGGATAAAGGGGAGAAATTGAAAAGCGTTTTAGTCTTTTTCTAAAGAGCTGGTCTTTCTTTATTTTAAGATTTATTTATTTATTTGAAAGTCAGAGTTACACAGAGAGAGGAGGAGAGGCAGAGAGAGCGCTCTTCCATCCACTGGTTCACTTCCCAGTTGGCTACACCGGCCAGAGCTATGCTGAAGCCAGGAGCCAGGAGCATCCTCCAGGTCTCCCAAGCAGGTGCAGGGGCCCAAGGACTTGGGCCATCTTCCACTGCTTTCCCAGGCCACAGCAGAGATCTGGATCAGAAGTAGAGCAGCCGGGACACCAACTGGCGCCCATATGGGATGCTGGCACTGCAGGTGTCAGGTTTATCCATTATGTCACAGTGCCGGCCCTGAGCTGGTCTTTCTAATGTAGCTGTTTTTCTTGCATCTTTTCTGCTTCAGTATACTTGCTGTACTAGGTTAATGGCTAGTGCTGTATTGGCTGTGTGAAAACCTGTTTGTTGTATAGTATGTAGCAACTTCTTCTGAACTGTTAGATGCTGATTATGTTTGTTTTTCAATCCCAATTCTGTTGCCAAGTACCAGATGCTACTGTAATTGAATGGTTAATAAAACTACACAGCACTGTTAAAATAAACCAATTTATTTCACCACAGCTCTGTAGACTGAAAGTCTGAGATTACTGTGCTGGCTTGGTTGAGTTCTTGTGAGGGCTGCATTTCTGACTTGCAGGTGACTGCCTTCTTACTGGGCCCTCATATGGTGGGGAGGACTTTCTCTTCCTCTGCTTTAAGGCCACAGTCCTATTCGATTATGGACACACCTTTATGACCTCGTTTAACCTTAATTTTCTCCTAAAGACTCTGTCTCTAAGGACTGGTGTTGTGGTGCAGCAGGTTAAGCCGCAAATTACATCACCAGCATCCCATACTGGAATGCTTATTCCAGTCCTGGCTACTCTGCTTCCAACCCAGCTCCCTCCTAATGCACCTGGGAAAGTAGTGGAAGATGGCCCAAGTACTTGAATCCCACCACCCATGTGGGAGAACAGAATGGAGTTCTTGGCTGCTGGCTTTGACCTGTTCCATCCTCGGTCATTGTAGCCATTTGGGGGGAGAGGGGTGGTGTTTAAACCAGCAGATAGGAGATATCTCTGTTTGTCATTGCCTTTCTCTCTCTGTTACTCTTTCAAATAAATAAATAAACCTAAAATACTCTAGTTCCAGATACACAGTTACATTGGGAGTGAAAGCCTCAACACATGAATTTTGGGGTACATGATTAAGTCCAGAGAAAAGAGAGTTAACAGTGATTGAGCCTACTGATTTCTGTTATTCTTGAATCATTTTTCTTTATAAATAATTATAGAGTCATAGGAAAAAAAAACACAGGAAATAAATTAGTTTCCCTTAATGGTGATATCTTACATCACTCTAATATAATATCAAAACCAGAATTTGACATCAGTACAATAAAATTAATGAGATCTTATTCAGTTTTCATCAGTTTTTACATTGATTAATTTATGTGATGTATAGTTCAATGCAAATTGATCTCATCTATGGATTTTCCTCTGTTCTTTTGATTAGTCTTTAAGTACTTGATTCTTACTTAAAGTGATGGTTATTTTCCTAACGAAATGTTTATTGACATGACTAGTAATTACTGATGCTGTCTCACCTTTGAAGCCTTGCCATCAAGTTTTGATGCTTGCATTTCATTATGTTCTTTTACTTACTCAACTAAAGCATCCCTGGAATTTCTGCACATATCCTTTTTTCTCATTGTCTTTGGCTAAGGAAGCAAAGTTTCTCATTACATATAATTTACCACCACAGATCATTAACTAAATGTTGGGATTTTAGTTGCTCCATTTTGAAAGTCATCCTTACCACAGCAGATTACAATGCAATACTATTTTAATCATTCCTAAATAGCAGGGAACAAAAAATAACAGTTCTAGATATTGGAGTGGAGGGGATAATGTTACCATTATTGAAACAATAAAACAGCATAATAATAAAAGACAATTTAAATAATAAGTTGCCTAATAACATTTGTATAATAAAATTGCAGGTGATGAAAGGAAATTTGAAAACGACACTTAGGTATCAGGGTCTGAGAATCAGCCTGAGCCTTCTGGTTGCTGACATGCATGTCCCCCAGTGACCTGCATTGGCTGCATTGACTGCATTAGCTCACTCTGTTTGAAAAAAGACAGTTTGTAGAAAAATACCAGGTAAACAAATGGGACATTTGGGAAATCCAAATGTAGCAGAAGTCCTAGGTATAAGACCTTGGCTTGTTGCTGGAAAACTCTTCATGAGGAAGCATTTAGATTTGCCTCCACGGTAGAGTTAATTCTTTAGAGCTTTAGCATGTTAATGAGGGCAACAAAATTCACATCATTCTTAAAAGAATACTTTGGAAGACTCTGTTTTCCACAATGATCACTTGCCTTTGAAGACTAGAAAGTGCCTTCGTCCTAATTTTATTTTAAGATTTTGATGGAAGACATTGAAATGCAGACCTGGCTTCAAAGCATAGTTTTAAACCAACAAGCATTTCCTGGTTTACATTGCTTAATTAATAATAATATTGATTCAAAAGAAGAAAGAGATTCCAAATCTCAGTAATTTCTACTATTCATAAATGTAAACAGTTAAACCAAAATGTCCTCAAAAATAACTGAATCTTAAATCCTTCCCATTTTCAAGCTCCTCGTCCCATCATCATCACTAAGTTTTTTTCTTGTTCTCGTCCAGTTTTTTTCCTTCTTCAGGTTCAGCATTATGACTATGCTAAGTAAATCCACAGGATTTGTACATGTCCTTGTCTTAATCAACAACGAAGCTTCCACTTACTGGGTAGCTTATTCAGGATAAGTGCATTTACTGAGGCTGGCTTGCTTGCGTCAAACAACATACAACAGCTACTTTGGAAACTGAACACCAAATTTTAGTCACATATTATTTAAAAGGTAAATATGCAGCTCTATAAGAAAATAAGAGAAACAATAAAAATAAGAGAAGGAAATGTTAGAAATAAGGAAGGATAGAAAGGAAGTTAAAAAAAGAAAGGAATGGGGCTGGCGCCGTGGCACAGTGGGCTAATTCTCCTCCTGCAGCGCCGGCATCCCATATGGGCACTGGTTCTAGTCCTGGCTGCTCCTCTTCCACTCCAGTTCTCTGCTGTGGCCTGGGAAAGCAGTAGAAGATGGCCCAAGTCCTTGGGACCCTGCACCCAGGTAGGAGACCGGGAAGAAGCACCTGGCTCCTGGCTTCAGATTGGCACAGCTCTGGCCGTTGCAGCTATTGGGGAGTGAACCAATGGAAAGAAGACTTTTCTCTCTGTCTCTCCCTCTCACTGTCTGTAACTCTACCTCTCAAGTAAATAAATAAAAATCTTTGAAAAAATGAAAAAAGAGGAGAAAGATGCAGTGAAAGAGAAAGAAAAAAAAAGAAGAAAAGAAAAGCACACAAGGGGAAGACCAAGCATAAAGTAGACATGGTCTATACATTTTTTTCATAGAACTATCTGCAGTTTAGGATGAGTCACCCCATGTAATTCTTCCATTGATGCAGCACCTAATAATACATCCACATTAAAGATCTACAATGAGAAATGCTATTTTGGGTAGGGTGACCATTGCCTTGTTTTTTTTCTGGGACTAAGGGGGTTCAAGAGTTTTGGGACTTTCTGTATTTATTTATTTATTTATTTGACAGATAGAGTTAGACAATGAGAGAGAGAGACAGAGAGAAAGGTCTTCCTTTCCATTGGTTCACCCCCCAAATGGCCGCTACGGCTGGCACTGCGCCGATCCGAAACCAGGAGCCAGGTGCTTCTTCCCGGTCTCCCAGGCGGGTGCAGGAGCCCAAGGACTCCACTGCCTTCTGAGGCCACAGCAGAGAGCTGGACTGGAAGAGGAGAAACTGGGACTAGAACCCGGTGCCCATATGGGATGCCAGCACCGCAGGCGGAGGATTAACCAAGCGAGCCACGGCGCCAACCCCGGGACTTTCTGTTTTAAAACTGGAATAGTTCAGCAAACCAGGATGA